TTGTATTCGCATTTGGAATGAAAGACATCGATGTTTCGCGCAAATGAAAATATATATTTTAACATGTCGAAACGAATTCGCCCGCGCCGCTTTTGAAAATAGTTTCCTCAGTCGTGCCAGTGATTTTTTTCAGATCTTGAAACACGAAATCTAGTGTATCCTAATTAGTCAACGATCGAAACATTCTGCGGAAGTATACGGAAAAAAAAAGAACTGGTAAAAAGATCATTATTTGTCCACCTTTGAAATACCGTGATATGTTTGAGATTTATAGCTTCGATCGTGTGTTCCGTTTAATTTTCAAAATTAACAATTAAAAATTTTCAAATCTCTCATATTCGACAGAAACTCACTGACAAACGCCGATTAACTTTACGCAAACGAGAACGTAATTTCGCTTGGAAACTGTTTCTCTGCGTAATGCGTATCGTCAATTACGAAATAAATACGAATACGAATAAAATTATCCCAGAAAATGTCAAAAATTAAATACGGAACGAATAATTTTTCATTTGCGAAGAAGGAATGATTTTTTCAGAAAACCAAGTTGTTAAAATTTCGCAATTATGCGTTCTTCGATAGATCTTAAGCGTACGTTGTATCCCGGTCAAAGAAGAAAAGAGAAAAAATGCAGAAAAATTAATTACGTGTCTCAAAGTTATTTCGTTCCGAAGATTACCGACAAAATAGTGCCGCCAATTGAAGCACTCTGTACTCGTACGCAAGAGAAAGAAAGAAATTAGTGAAATGTGGTGATAATTTTGTATCTACGATGTCTCGGATAAATCTTGTGCTCATTTTGCGTATCTGTCGAAAAAGACAACGAAAGAAAAGCGAAAAATAAATTATTTCGCATCTCGTTCTCATTGTCAGTGACAGATGGCGCCACCATGTCCATATCGAAGCTCTCTACCCTTACGTGGAAAATAAGTTACCGACAGATGGCGCAACAATGTCCATATCGAAGCTTTCTACACTTGCGTGAAAAAAAGTTATCGACAGATGGCGCCACCATGTCCATATCAAATGCACTTGTACGAAAAAAAAATTTTTTTGAAAGAGTCAAAGAGAAACAATTTGTCCGATTAACTTTTTCCTTTAATATAAACTGAACCACATCTAAACTAACTCTTTCCTTCTCCTTAAGCTGAACTACACCTAAACTAATACCTTCCTTCTTACAGTGAACCGTAACTTCAGTATACCTTTATACACCTAAACTAACTCTTTCTTACCACTTAAACTGGACTCTTATTTCCTATTGAAATTGAACGTAAAGTGAATGTAAAGTACACGTGAACTATTCATTTCTTCTTCCTGACACAGAAGTCGGACGTACTGAAACAAGTATATACATTTCCCCTTTTCTTCTATTTTTAAATCGAACGTAAAATAAATCTGAAGTACATCTGAAGCATTTACTTGCTTTTTTCCAAACTGAACAGTAACTGAAATCTAATCGACGAGGTATCTTCTTTCTTTCTAAACTCTTCGAAAAGAAAATAACATAAACGTACGATACACTCGAACCACTTGCTTCCTTTCCCTCAAACAGAACTTTAACTTAAAGCTATTGAACGAGATTTCTACTTTTCACTTCTGCTCAAATAGAGCATATTTTTTCTTTCGCATTATTAAGATATAAGATGAGACGTAAAGCTCACGTGTCCCCGTGAAACGAATAATAATTACTTAAAAGAATATAAATTAAAAGTCGCCCTCAACTTTTTCAGTACCGGAGAACCGTAACTACAGAGCTTGGAATCCCGGCGCCAGAAATTTTTTTTTTTTTTTTTTTCTTTGTAACTATTAAAGTTTAAGACGATTCATCGATCATGAAAGTATACGGACCTCCGGTACAAGGATTACGTACGATCATTCAAAATATTCGACATTCACTCTGTCAAAATACCATATCGATTTTATGTAATGAACAAAAAATCATATTGCTGGCACATCCACTAGTTCTCCAACTCACCGTTAAGTAAACGTAGAGTGCGCTAAAAAACTAGTGGTGTTTTTACTATGTCGGTATTTCAGGTCACAAGCCACGAAATCCCGTAAGATGCTTGGTCTATTCATATACCTCGTCTGTGGTGCTGCAGTGCAAAATCTGCCTTAATCGGTACGACAGGATGTAACACGAAAATGGTAATGGGGCCTAGAGTACCCCGAAATCGTGGCCGAAAAAATACCTGCATATGTCTATTCATATACCTCGTCTGTGGTATTACGAATTTTTAAATTAAAATTTGCATTTTCTCCAACTCGTCGAAATCTGCCAAATTATTAAAAACAGTAGTAAGTTGATATTTATCATTTGTAGTTTTAAAAAAATTTTTTTTAAAATTTATTATTAATCATTTTTATTTAAGAATTTACAATATTATACTTTCCTTTCTTGTTTTTCAAGTTTATACTTAATATATCGTAATGTATTTTAACGTCATATCTTAATGTTCTTTATTAAGATTAAATTAAACAATATAATTGAATTAAATGACAAAAAGAATATGTGATGAAACTGTTCGATTGGATTGAATGAATAAAAATGATTATCTTTGGAATTACAGTTTACGCATAGTGAAAACTATGTTCTAGAAATCAGCTGTTGCTTAAACAATCTGGTTTGAAGAAATACATATTTCGAGCAAAGTCAATGAGCTTTCATCAGAATAGCCTGTATCTTCGGGCTACGATTCTCGTTTTCTCTTCTTTTAACTACGATTTGCTGTTGCTCTCTTTCCAATAGCCACTTCATTTCTCTTCTCTTATACTCTTCATCTATCATTTAGGTAAATTTCATACGTTTTCTATCAAAATTTATCACCATTACCGTTAAAACATCTGTCGTCATGGTATTCGATGTTGCAATCGATTGTTTAAGCATACCATTGTTTTCTGGTTCACATTTCAACTGTACTTCGATTACTACAAATTTTGAATAAATACTACGAAAACTATGATAGTATGAAATTTGACCTTAAATACGCTGACTTTTCAGAGGATTTAATTTTTCTTAAAATCAATACTTAAGAAAGGAAATTAAGTAAATTAAAAATTAAAAGTAGAATAAAACAAAAAATTAAAGACGTATAAAATAGAACTTCCTTTTATAGATCATTAAAACTTCAATTATTATTCACTTTACTTCCAGATGAAAGAAAAGTTCTCTACAAGAAAAATCGTTTCCGGTAACTATGCATTGAACATTTTTATGGAATACTTTAATCAAGATTCTGTCATGCTACACTGCTCAAAACAATGAGAGGATTTCAGACCATACTAAAAACCATACAAAACTGGTATCAACATAAAAACCGAAGTTAAGATATTATTCTTATCAAATTGAATACATATTTATATATAATATATGATAAATATAATATACATCAACTTCAAAATATCAAGTAACCAATCTTCAAAATATCAAGTGCATACTATAATACATTTCAACAAATGGCCTATCTATTTCAAGTCGAAATACGTTCTTTATTTAAATTAAACACCTAAAATCAGTTAGCTTAATGAATCTCATAAATGGATTGAGGATGTTTATGCAAATTCATGCTTGTGAAAACACGAAAGTGATGAAATGTAATTTAAGCAGGAATTCATAAACATAATACTACA